GCTCCCTGCTCACCCACAGCCCCATCCCACATAGGGAGGTTTGGTGAGCTGCGGGGGGGTGGGGGCATAAGCAGGGGTGCTGGCCTAGCCCATGACAACTCCCCAAAACTTCCATGGGCCCAAATAATTGTCCATCCCAATATTAGTATGTCCTTTTATCTATCAAATATACCCCAGTGAAGACTCCCTAAGAATGCATTATCTTTTTCCCAGTCACATCCCACTGGCATTTCATTGTCCTCCTACAGTTGTCCAGGTTCCTCTCTTCCTTATTTGTTTCCAATCTGTGTCTCATTCTTAGAGCCAATGGTTTTGTTATTAGTTCCTAGATCCATGACACTACCCTTCATTTATGACTTATTCCATGTCCACTGCTCCATCCAAAAGAATTTTCTAAATTTTCCGACATAATAATCCAGTCTTCTTCTATATTGGCAATACCTCTCATTTTAGTGTAACCTACACATTTAATAAGGGCACACCTAGTTCCAGTTGCTAATAAAATGGTCACTAAACACAGAATAGGTCTTCAAACTAATCCCTGAGGAACTCCACTGGTGATTTCTCTCCAGTCAACACAATTCACTGTAATCCCCCTTTATTTTAATTCCTTATTCACTTCACGTTGATTCGTAGTATTGATTCCTGTCTTTCCTGGTATGGGCAGTAATTCCCCATTACAAATGGTATCAAAAGCTTTGTTTAAATCTAGATAAATTAAGTCCATTGTGATGCCCTTATCCAAGAAATTGGCTGTCTTGTTTTTAATGTCATGATCTTCCTCAGATAAATCCATGTTTTATTCCACTTTCCATTTATTTCCATATCCTTGATTAGTCTTTTTATTACCATCTTTTCTGATACTTTACAGACTATCAAAGGCAAGCCAATAGCCCTGTAATTGCCTATGTTATTCTTTCTCTGTATTCCTAAACTGATAGATTCAATGGCAATTTGTGCTAAAGGATTTTCTATTTGTGTGTCACTTCTAGTATTCTAGAAAGGAGATTACCTAGGTCCTCTGATTTGGTGACAGTAAGCGATCTAAGTTTTACTTCCACCTCAAATGTGTTAATATCCAAAACCATGTCCTTGTTGCCATGGGGCACCGAACCAATGGTCTCAACTAGATCTTCATCCTTATTGAAAACTGAGGCAAAATATGCTTTTTGAACCATACCTATGTTTCCCTTTGTCTCACCCCATCCCTTCAGCATATAGTAGCCTCACTCCTTCTCCATCCTCTTAGATCACATACCCCCAGACCCCAAAACCCTGGCAGTATTTCTGCCCAACCCTGGAAGGTCTGCTACAATTTAATGTATGAAATTGAGGCCACAACCACCTCAGCCCTAGCCTTCCCCTTTTTACACTGTATGCAGAAGTTGCCCACACACCACAATCACTATAGGAAGTCTGTCTCACAGTTCCTCTTACCTTTTTATATTCCCCTCCTCTATTGTTCAGATGCTGGACTGCCCTGTTTAACACCTATTCACCACTTAAGTGCTCCAGCTTCGCAAGGCCTTGCCTGAGTGCATTTAGAGTAGCATAGCTTGTCTTTTTATGTGTATCCTTTACTATTTATTTATACTTGAAACTTCATTTACTCAATAAAAATCAAACCCTCTTATGAGTGTTATTTACACCACACATTGCAAGCTGTAACATTTGCTTGGGTCATTGTTCCTTTTTATTCAGTAACAATTTATTGTACCCTAACCTTAAAGACACTATAACTTTTCAATCATCTATCATACTATGAAACCTGAGAGTTCCAGTCTTATACTGTAGAATGATTTAGCCCAAAACAATAACATTGCATAATAGTGGTGTTTTACTCAGCTTGTATGTAAATAAAGGAGTGCCGGTGTGGAAAGAGGCTCAAGAGAAAGTACATAGCAATTAACAATTACTTAAATCCTTGTGAAGTGATTGATAGTCATTGCTGTATGACACTGAGCTCCATTTTAAATAAAGTCAGTTTCTTTGATTCAAGAAGTTTGGTTGTACAATCTCATTTGCAATCATAAAGAGTTCACTGCAGTATTGTCACCCCAAACTGACTACGCACACAAATGTATATGCAAGAGCTGAGTAAAATATAACCCTCATGCAAAATTAAGATTTAATTCATGTTTGAATTGGAAACAACATTTGCTTTATTTCTTTTGCTTTTGTTATGGGTTTTTTTGCTTGATTTTTGTGGACAGAGTAAGAGAGTCATTGTATAAAAGAAGAAAGGAGGGGGGAAAAAAACAATTCAGTATCTTGTACCAAGCTCTGAGACAGAACAAAAGGAAAGTCCATGAGAGAAGAGTAAGAAAGAAAAAGGAAGTAACTGGAAGGCCAGAGAAAATGAAAGCAAGGATGCTGTTGATGGTGGCTTCAGTATTACAAAATGAATTAATTGGAGCAGGGCTTTCAAGTGGACAAGTGGACCCCAGGAGCCATGGGTCCCCATAGCTGCATATCCCCATGCTGCACCATGTGCAGGGATGGGCTTCCCCCACTGCTTCATCTGTGTGGGGGCAGGACCCCCTCCTCTGCAGCACCATGCATGGTGGTGGCCCCCACCTCAGCTGCCTGGCTGCATGCTCCCCCACTGTACCACATTGTAGGCCCCACTAGCGCCATAGGCTGAACCATGCTGGCCCCTGGGCCAGGGGCAGAAAGCAAATGCTGGAGGAGCAATGGAGAGACAGACTGGAAACCCTGGTTGCTGCTGCAGTTGGAGTGAAGGGAGGGGAGTGGCAACTAGGTCAGAGCCTGGGGGCCACAGATTAACTCTTTGTGGGCTGCATGTAGCCTGCAGGCTGCTGGTCAGACAGCCGTGAATGAGAGAAAACACCAAATATTTTCTGCAAACACATTGGTGAGGCTTGTAGAGTATGATCCACTAACTGCTGTCTAACTGTACATGGAAACAGTACAATATCTGCCCGAGTAAGACCTGGTCCATGTTAGACTGTTGTACTGCTTTAACTGTACCCATATAACTGAAAGAAACCAACCCCTTTATTGTGGACCCAGATATAACAATATAAAGATGCCTATGTACAATCATATAAAAGAGTGGCTGGAAGGGACCTCAGGAGGTCATCTAGTTCAGCTCCCTGTTCATTCCTATCCAAACCATACCATACAAGTCCTTGGGAGAAGTAGTTAGCCATGGTAAAGTAAGGCAGGGCAGGGTATCACCTTAGAGACTAACTCAGGGGTGTCAAACTCAACTGCCCTGACAGACGAAATGAATGGTGTGGGACTGGTCCATGGATGAGTGACACAGGGCTGGCCCAAAAGGCCAGAACACACCAAGAGACCCTCCTCTCCCATGCCAGATCTAGCACGTGCATCACCTGTTCTGGCCAGTTTGAGACCCAGTGAGAAGTGAGGCTTGGTCATCACTGCGGGAGCAAGCCAAGGTGCTGGGCTTCTTCCTGCAGTGCTTCTGGAGCTCCACAGCCACAGGTCTCACCCAGACACTTGAGTTGGGTACAGACATTCAAAAAGCCTGAGGTAGAATCAATCTAAATTACATGGTTTTCTGTAAGTGACATAGTATAGATCAGTAGTGAACAGAACACACATTTGCCCCTTAGTGAGAGGTGCCAATCTTAGACCAGGTTCTGCCATTTTTAAACCAATCTATGTGTACTGGACTTCTGATCTGTTATGGGTATAGACTGGTTTCTGATCACCAAGAAAAGTGTAATGTCTGTACCTGGTCTTGGCTGCTGCAAAGAAAGGTCCCCCACTGAGGCTGCTGGTTGGACAACCCAGCTCTGCAGACCGAATCTGGTTCATGGGATGCCTGTTTGACACCCTGGACTAACCAGTTCAGAGAGACATAAGCTTTCATAGGCAACAGCCTACTCCATCAGAGTTCATCTGATAAAGTAGGCTGTCATCTACTAAAGCTTTTCCACTCTGAACCAGTTAGTTTCTGAGGTGCTAACCCTACCTTCTGTCTATACAACCAATCTTATGCATGAGACTAGAGTGGAACTAATTCATTTGTTTTCAGAAAATGTCACATTAAAATATTAAACATTGTAAAATATTTTGATCCTTTCAGAATTCACTTCTTTTACACCTTTGCTTTTAGAGAGAAAACATGGAAAAGATATAAATGCCAAAGCACAGATTTTTCAGCCATAAAAAATGCCCCTTCTCAAGCAATAGTAGTAAAAAAAGAAAGGCTATGAAACAGGACAATCTTGAGCTGAGAGCTAAATAGGCCCACTGCAGGGCTGGGGGGGGGCAGGAGGTCAGATATAATATGACCTCATATGTTGGTGAGAATATTTCTGAAACCTGTATCAGGCATCCACCCAGATTCCAAGGTCTCTATTACTTTTAGTCATTTGGGTGAAGTTTGTACCATATTCTGTCCCCTTTACATTGGGTAAAAGCATGAACAATGCATGCCCCCAGAGCCAGGTGGGGCACAGTGAGCTCCTGCAGGTGGTGGCGCTGTTGGCAGCAGGAACATGGCGGAGACAAGCACATGGCGAGCGCTGGCAGATACATGGCAAGCGATGACCAGTGGTCGGCAACCACCCCCAGACACTGCCAGCAGTGTCGGCAGCAACCAGCAGTGATCATGCACTGCCCGCAGACACCA